ACTGAGATTTAAAAATAAGTCTCTATTGAATGAAGTGCCTTCAAAAATAGATCAAAATTTTATGGATATTTTACAATGAATATATATATATATTCATATAAAATATATATAGATGATATATTTCTAATAATATCTGCTGGTTTTGATTTATAAAATGGCATGGAAAATAATGATATTAATGCATCCCAAGAAACTTGAAAGATTTTTATTCTGTTTCAGTATTCTCGATACATGAAGGTGTAATAAAGAATTGGGTAAATAAAAATTCGGAATAAGAAGTTTAAATAAAGTATGTGTAATTATAACCAAATGAAAATATGGAATAAGGAATTCTCCTCCAGGTCGAGGTAGAATTCCTTTTCCAAAGTCACGAATTGCAAAAGAACCCCCCCCAGATAACAAGCTTCAGCAGACTCATCAACTCGGAGGAAAGGACAGGACACAGGCCATCATAGAAACAAAAGAACCAGCCTGAAAGTCTACCTCCAGAGAAAGGCAACGCCCGGCCGATTTCGGCCGGAGACCATCAAGCAAGACAAAAGGGACGAGCCCCAGGAAGATGGTCGTTGCCAGAATCGAACACCACACCCGCCAAACCCATACTACAGAAACTCAATCAAGAAAGACAAAGAAGAGACTACTCCTCCGAGATATCCATCGGCGCTAGCCCGGATCCCTCGATTCTGCTGTGATGAAATATGTTAAAATACATACAGACTCACTTTGCATTTGAGGAGACTCTGCCCGGATACTTACTGACTCAATGTTCTAGGCCAGGAAATCCATTCACCAGACAATCAGGGACATTTGGTGAATGGAAACTGGTTGGAATTCTAGCCTGGGGACATAAAATCCCTATAAAAACCCAGGCCAGAGAACCCTCAGACGTGGATTTGGGAACACCTATACCTTGCGTATAGACCCTGTCCACCCAGCGCTGCGCTGTCCATTTATTGTGGTTTTTTCCTCGCTGTTTGTTGCTTTATTAATTTATAATAAATTTATCTTTGTTAATCTTTAATCTGCCGTTGCATTTATAACAAAGGTTTTGAAAATGTTATTTTCTCTATACATCTGATAATGTAATATTGTATGATATGGGGTGATCATCAAGTATTATTACTATAGTTACAGTTAATTACTGCAAGATACATTTCTTTAAAATTGAGTTGAAAGATCTTATGATTTACCCTACAGAAAAAGGATTGAATGAAAAGTTTCTTTCATTTTTAACCTTCCCTTTTATTTTAATAAGTGTATTGAAGATTTAGTTCAATACAATTTTCAGTAATCTCAAAGTTATGTTAACCGTACATTACCCATTTGCTTGGTTTTTTGACAATTTTAATAAGGTAATTTTAATGTGACTCCTTTTGTTATAAAAAAACATTTATAAAAGCTTATATACATATATACCAATTTGGATTTTGGATTTCAGTTAAAAAGTTAATGTTTCTGAAAAGTACTACAAAAGCTGAATAGCAACTTACCAAATCTCTGGTATTGTATTTTTTTTCCTAGTAAAACTGCACTCAAAAAATCCTAACAAATTTATGCATATGCCAAGCAAATTCTTGTTACGAATGGGTAATTTTTAATAACATCTACAGTTATTATGGGTTATTCTCAAAGCCAGATAACATGGAATTGTGATATATTTGTTGCAATTTCTGCAATTTTTGTTCGTTATAGCTTTCTTATTTTTCAGTGTTTCCAGAATTTTAAAATGTACCATTGCTGAGGATCAGCTGCCATGGGAGATGCTTCAGATTAAACCAACTGCTGAATGGTTTAATTGGTCTGGTACCTGAGACTTCTGGTCATTTGCTTTATACAAATGCCTTTTAAAAGTTTGCTGTGTTTTAAGCATCTTATATTTTTAAACCCCTTGCTTTGAAAATGACTTAAGAGACATCTTTCCAGATGAGGCCTAAGGCTCTGGCCAAGCCTTGACTTTACCTGGATAGAGAATTTACTAATAAACCCAGAAGTTTTCTGCATCAAAACAATATTCAGGTCAATTTGACTTGGCAATTAGTGAATTAATAGAGCAGCTAGATTTTACAGTGGGCTTGGAAAATTGTTATCCGGACATGATTTTCCAATCTTCCATTGATTTATCAGCTGTGGCAGACTCTGGGATGAGAATATATGTTTAGTATATTTAGCAATTCCTATTACAGATTATTTTAATATGGCATAATATTAATTATGCATCTTCTTAATAAGTTTTTGATTTCTGTAAAAGTGTTATTTCCTATGTGTATACATGACAAATGTTTTACTTTGATGGTTTTTCATTGTCATAACAAAAAAAACAAATACCTTAATTACAAAAAAAAAGGGGGGGGGGAACCAAGGCTATGCCTCAGAAGTCTAAGAACCTTATATATCTTAAATTTTTGGAAAAACGTAAAGATCTATTGCAAATAATTCTTGAACAGTCCTTTTTATATAAGTCTTTTACAAAGCCAGTTCCATCAATTATCAGGTGTTGTTCTAACAGTACTCAAGCAAAGTTGAGAGAGAATTCTTTGGTTCTGGTCAAAAGTTCAGAAACAAGATTAAAAATTCATTTCAGTTAATAATTTGGAGTTCACAGGTTCAAAGCAGAAGTAACTTCCTAGCGAAGAACATGGAAACTCATCAGCTGCAAAGACAAACAGAGCCCAAAGAGCAAAAGAGAGAGCATACAGATGTGAACTGTATCAAGACCACAGTTGACAGCTGAACAACTTGGATCCAACATGCAAGAGCAATGAACTTTGGGTTTCATGTGAAACAGTGGGAAAATTGATATTTTAAAGTCTCATTTGTTAAAGCATGGTGTGAATTGTGTCAAGATTCAGAATCTTGCACGAGGGATAAAGTTCTTGAATATGAAGGTGAATCAGGTATCACCCTTGAGCTGTATCATTTTGTTGATCACTTTGTGATGCAATTTCACCTGCATCACTTCTTTTAGTTAACTCAAAAGAAAGTATACCTTATCTCAGTGAAAACAGATTTTTGTATAATATTCAATTTTTCTGTATTAAAACAGAATGAAGATGAGATAATGAATGTTACTCCAAATCATGCTCTATACAAAGAGGCAACATCTTATTGTAACCTTCTATCAATCTTAGTTACACCTGATTGTGAAGAGTTTGACTCATGAAATTTCAGATAGAGATCTGTAACAACTCAGCTTTCAATTCAAGTAAGTAGCTTCAGCAGAAACTTTAGAGCAATTAGACAAATTAAGCTACTGATCAAGTAAGCAACCTAGATCTATTTCTCTAGCTTTGAGTGGTTAGTTAACTGATGTTCAAAACTGGAGGCAGAATGCTCTGTGGAACAGAGCAGCAGTTCTGTTGTTAGTGCATAGGGCATGAGTGAAGGAAAAATAACTCTTCTTGAAAAGTAATCAAAGAAAAGGTTTAGGTTGATTTTTTTTAAATTTTTTTTTTAAAGAGAGGGGCAGATGTTGGAGTCTGGAATACAGAGTGTGTGCCCTTGTTTCTGATACTTAGTTACAAGACCTAGAAAAACATTGAATTTCATATAATATGAAATTCATGAGCATGTTTTCATGGTGACACATGAAAACAAATGTTAAAGTTAGATAGGAAAAGCTAAAAATCTAAGTGTGTAGATTAGAAAGTTTTTTAAATCACTGGGTGAAAAAGTAGTTTAGAGAATAAGAGATAAGATGGAGGATTTAGGGTGTTGTCCCTTGTCCCTTCTTCTTTCTTCTTCATGTTCTTCTCCTATAGGTTTTTGGGTAATAGTAAGTGATTGGATAGAAAATGCCGCGGTGCATCACAGAGGTGATGGGTCATTGGGTCATTAAGAAAAATAATATACGTGTCTATTGTTAATTGGGTAAAAATAGGTATAAAGATAAAAGAACTGTGTAGTTCGGGGCCATTTTGTGCATCAGACACGAAGTGTGCCACAAGGCCTTGTTTGTACCATCAGAAGAAAGAAATGTGCCAAATTGCAAAGATTAACCTTGTAACCAGCCTGAAGAGATCAGTCAAGTTTTATGATCACCTGTTAATAAACACGAGAAACAAGATTCTAATGAGCTCGGGAGTTTTCTTCGAATTATAAGGACTGAGATAAGTGGACCTCCCCATGAGGGAGGATCCCAGAGGAATTCAGCTTAAAGGAGGCTGAGAGACTAGAGAAAAGTTGTATCCACAGAGAATTCGGCCCAAAGGAGGCAAGGAGGAGAGATATTACAAGAGCAGCCGGAAGTTTGATTACTACATGATCATCCCAGTTGTAGAGGACCTTCAGGTTGAAATTCAATTGAATTAACATGGATTTACCCTTCTGGTGGATGCAGAGCTTCCCATGTGAGGAGATGGGGAGGCGTGAGCGGTGATTCACCTGCAGGACGACAACCATCAACACAACCAAAACCCATCATAATTGGGCAATACAAGGAGTTTAAGAAGACTAGAAGTGTTTTCGTGCAAGGGTTGCCTGCACACCATCAAATCCTGGAATTATTTAGGAAAAGACCCTCAAGATCATTGCTAAATACATAATTTCAGTGAAATTCCATAAAATTACTTGAAATTCAGGAATTATGATGGGTTTCGCTTTACCCTCACCATCCCATTCTCTGACTGGACAGCAGTGACAGTGACATTGTCAACATGGATGGTGATGGAGCTGATGGGGGAAACTTTGGAGTTCTCTTTTTCCTCCTTTTTGACCTCAACAGAGAAGGCAGGAAGGGTGGGATCGGGACTGCAGATGGTGGTCAAGGTGTAGGCACATGTTCCCATGAAATCAAAGGTTTTTCCATCAAAACTGCAGTAATGTGGCCCTCCAGCAAGCCAACAGGTGGAGAAAGTCTCCTGGATGCATTCCAGCTGTCCATCCACCATCTCACACCTATCCTCGCATATCAAATCCTCACAAGAGAGTGGTGTGGGGACTGAAAAGAAGGGGAAAACCCATGAATGGCCAACTGGACAACACCCAACCATTGGGGTGAGACAACAGTGGACTGACTGTACTCACTGGCGGCACAGAGCCCGGGGAAGCCATATCCAGTGCAACTCTGGAACACAAACACCAGGAGCCCAACAGGCACCTGTGAGTTCTCAGCGCTCTGCATCGTTGCGCTCACAGTGATACTGGCCCAGGAGAAATCTGTGCCGGGAATGGCCTGCCATGCCATGGTGCTGTCTGGCTGATGGTTGAGGGTGGTGGTTGCAGTGGCAGTGGTAGGTGCAATGAGGATAGCATGGTTATACTGGCTGGGCACACTGCTGAAGTGGAATGCAGTGCAGTGGGCTGTGACAGGTAGGACAACAAGGAGGAAGAGATCTTGCCAAGATGACCCGCTGAAGAAAAACACCACTACCTCGTACTGATATGCAGATGGGAGTTACGGTTTACCACGAACATCTGTACCTCCCCTGCTGCCATGGCCACAGTGGCATTTCCACTGCCGGTGTGGTAGGTGATGGTGTTGTCTTCATACGTCACCACATAAGCAAAGTCAACATCTGTCTGCAGTGGGTTGGATGGCACCACATAGCTCCTCCCCCATGCTGTCATTGGGAGGAGCTGCTCCACCACAAAGTCAAAGCCAGCAGACACCTTGACACAGGTGTGGCCACTGAGGACGGCCACAGGGGTGTCGGCCACCACGACTGTGCCAGTGAAGTCTTGGCTGCTCTGGAGCTGCAAGCTGTGATAGGGCTGTAGGAACAGGCATAGCACAGCACCGGGCACATAGGTGGCCCCAGTATAGTGGAAAGTGGCAGTGGTGGTGATGCTGGTAGCAGTGGTGGCAGCGCCTGCGGCCACCACAAACTCGGTCAGGCCATAAGTGTAGTTCCCAACAAGTGTCACCATGTAGTACCTGGTGCCCAGGCTCTCCACAGGCAGGAAGGCGGTGGCACCCATGGTGTAGCCCTTGGTGCTGGCGGCCACCATAGAGATGTCAGCACTGGCCTGGATCACCAAGGTTTTATGGCAAGTGCGGCTTCCAGGGAGTTCCAGGTTAGCAGGGAGGGGCAAGGGCACAGTGACATCCAGCCTCAGGGTGACGTTCTGGGTGATGGACCTGCCACGGAGCGTCAGTGACACCTGGGTGCTGGCAGGGCCATAGGAGGTGAGCAGCAGCTGCAGGTAGGCACTGGGGGACTCATCATCATTTTGTGGGAACACAGCCAGGAACTCCTGGCTCCGGTAGCTGGCACTGGAGAGTTCTGGGAAAACAGGGAAAAAAGGGGCTTTGGTTAATTTTTATATTAACCAAGGGGGTTACATAAAGGGGGCTTTTATATTTTTATGTTGATATTTTTATATAAATTTATATATCAATTTTCCTATTTTGTGGTAGGAACTGAACTGAAATGACATTAAAAATATGACTGCAGTATCCTGTTGGGGAAGATGAAACAAGGAAACCTTATGAATAGGATTGTTTAGCAAAAGATTCTGAAAATATGAAACCCAGAATCAAAATAGAAATGAAAACTTGTTTTTAGCTATAGGATACTGAGTGTTAGTTACTATATAACCAAAGAACAATAGCCTAGCCAGCTGAAGGAGAATTCCTGTTGATTGAACAATACCCTTCTGCTGCCAGTGAATCCAAAGGTTGAAGCAGTAAGAGAAGACTTTGAAGAGTAGCTTTTAGAGTTTAAAATGTAACACTGAATGGTAATGTAGTAGTTCTTACAGGCTACATGTAAATTCTATAGAATGTGTGTCATGTACTTGGTCACCGGGAATTAGAATATTCACTATAGAAAAAGATATAATGTATTGCAACAAAAACTTAACTCTTTTTACCTCTTATGCTCTTTGCCTCTTAACCTCTCTTAAGCTCTTAGGCTCTCACCCTCTCTTACTCCATCTTGCCCCTCTCTCTCTACCCTCGTAATTACCTTCTGCTCTCATGCTCTCAGCCCCCTCTTTCCACTCTCTCTCTCCCTCTTTGAGCGTGTTTACGCTGTGGCTGGCAGCGTAAACAGAGCTCTTCCACCTTCTACTTAAATAAGAAATTGCTCATCCCAAGAGCAGCCTGGCTTAGAGAAGTCTCCCACCACGAGTCTGTTTTATGCCTACAGTATGCAATTCATAAAGTCTATTTTTATATATAAACATAATAGAAATTATATTTACAGTTTATTCTGCTAATAAATAACATCCAACTAAAACTATAAATAATAATATATAAATAGTAAACTCTTATTTATATGTTCTATTAGCAAATTATTAAAATATATCAATGCCTTAATAAATGAAATAGAGTATTATTAACTGATATTAATTATATAAAATACTATTCCTCAAAACAACACTATTATTAGATATTTATATTATTATATCCTGTGTTACTGATACATTAATAGTATCAAGTAATATACTTTAGCATATTACTACTCATTAGCACACTGATAAAATATTAAAAACATAAGACTCATATATCAGTAAAAACATGTCAATTGCATTTTCAGACTGTTATATTATTATACTGCTTATCCAATATATAACATAGTTATATAGTACAGGTCTATTAATTATAACATTGTGATATACAATACTTAAATATATAGTAGTTTATTTTCTATTATTTTGTACTTAATAGAAACATCAGCAAATATTTAATCCAAATCCATAAATATTAAAAATAAATAAATATAATAATAAGTGCTGTGGTTATTGACTTTATTTCACTATTACTCATCATAAAAAAAATTACATGTTATTTTTATAACTATATACAACATTAGATAATTTATATTTTCTCTATAAAATTATACAGATAGCGATTTAGAATAATTTTATTTCTTGTTTTCATAGGAACGATTTGGGGGAAAAAATGGTCAAAATCAGGAAAAATAAGCAATAAGGAGCAAAATTATTTTAGTATATTATAGACCAGAATAGAATTAATTTATCATTATATTATACTACATTGCAATACAGTCCTTATCATAACACGTAATTAATATAACAATTATAATAGGGGATATTACATTATAACATTAATTAAAATAATATATAATAACGTTATTAAATATAATATTAATTGTATACAGTTATAAAACATTATAATACAATAATGTCATTCATGTAATACCATGCAACTAATATGTCATATTACATTGTAAAATAATCCAGAATTGTATATAATTATACTTTTAGCAATTTATATTTATTTTATCTTGTATAATTATCTTTCAATAACTAGATGTAGTTATATATAATACTAATATGTAGTATGCTATATATTAGTTAATATAAGAATATACAGTAATAACTACACTAATATATTATGCTAATAGAAATATATTATATGTTTTTATATTTCACACCTTCTATGCATCCATATAAACTTTTAAATAATTTTATATTTAATTTTCACAGTAATTTTTACTAGAAAATGCAAATCAAGAATAACAATAATAACAACATAATTATAGCAGATCATATGCTGTATTTTTTATAGAATTACAGTAGAGGTTATATATATCACTATTGTAGTGTATGTATATTATTAATAGATCCACAACACATAAAAATATAGATGAATATTAATAAGAAATTATTCTCCTATTAATCAGTATTATGTTATTCAATTACACTATTTAATATTATTATTAGCCAATTAATTTTAAAATTATTTTTATAAGAAAAAATGCATATACAAATATATATGCATATAAAAATATATAAAATTATAAATAAACAAATAAAAGACAGCTTTAAAGGATCAAAAATATTTAAATATTTTCAGGGATTTTTTTTAATACTACAAAATAACAAAGTAGCCCTTTTTTGTCCAAAACATATCAAAAAGAGTGGGTATCTTCTCCAAAAAAAAAAAAAAAAAAAAAAAAAAAAAAAAGATATTTTTGAGATTGTTGGGGGAAAAAAACCATGACAATGAGATGAAAATTGAGTAAAACTCAGTCTATATATAAAAGTTAGTGATAAAGATTTTTTTATATTTAAAAAATAGGGAATTGGGGATGTTGGGTAAAAAAAAGATAATTCTGGTGATCTTTTCTGAAAAAAATGGAATTTGAATGTTTTGGGGGAAAAACAGGAAATAATGAGGTTTGACTGTGAACAATAAATAGGATTAAAGGAAGCATTCTGAATTAATACATTAAAAAGGGTTGCTTTTTAAAAAAAGGGGGATTTTGAAGAAAAATCAACAGGGAAATTAGCAACTGGGATTTTAAAAATTAGAACAGAGTGAATGAGGATTTTTTTCTTTAAAAATGCATGAGATTTAAAACAGACTTCAAGAGGGCTTTTTTTCCTTTAATGAGTACATCTAAAACACAGAATTAAAAAAAAAAACAAACAAAAAAACCAAGAAAGTCTTAAGGGAATATTTTTTTTTCTTTAAAGCACTATCTAAAAATTGGATTGATAAGAAGTTTTCATGAAAATTAGAAAAAAGCCAGGAAAATAACGAATGAAAGGGTTTTGGTTTTTTTTCTTCCTTAAGAACCATCTGCTTTTATTAAAAAAGAGCAAATAAAAGAACCTTTTCATAAAATAAATAAATAAATATAAAAATCGATCTTTTTTCTCCAGAAAAAAAAAATTAAATTACAGCATATAGATCTTGCATTTTTTTTTCCTGGAAAAACACTAAAACTTATCATTAGAATTTTAGCTCAAAAACAACAACAACAACAACAAAAAACACAACCAAAAAGTTAAGTGAAATAACGAGGAGAAGTGCACTTTTTTGGTTTTCTTAGAAAGTGAGGATAAAGGGGATTTTTCCATGAAAATTAATGAGGTGCTCATGAAAAATAAAGAAGAAGATTCTAAAGGCTTTTGGATTAAAAAAAAAAAAAAAAATTTAAAGGGTTATTTTGGTTAAAAAAAATAAATCTGCAGCTGACAGGTTGTTGGAGAAAATGCAAAATGAGGGAAGAGGGGAATTTTCAGGCAAAAACAAGCCCAGTATTTAATTTTCTGTGCTACAAAGCCTGGAAATAAGTACAAAACCCAGGAAATTTGGGGATCTTGTGTGTTTTGCTCACCAAAGAAAGGAAGGAGGAACCACCAGATCCCATCTTCTGCCATCCCTGTGAAAAACACCCAAAATCACTAAAAATTCTTATTTTATGGGAAAAATCCATGTGAGCCCTGAGATGTCTCCAGAAGCCTCAAACCCTAACCCTAACCCTAACCCTAACCCCAAATCACCCCAAAATGCCTATTTTCCTCCCATGGAAAAACCTCTTGGGGCTTATTTTGGCCCCCACTGCCCCCAAACCCACCCCAAACATTCCAAACGCTATTTTGTCCAGAACTCCCCAAATTTAGACCAAAATAGTTTTTCTTCCCAAATTCCCCCATTTTGGTTAAAAATATTTTTCCCCCAATCCACCCCTCTTTCCCTTTTCAGTCAAAATGTAATTAAACAGCTGAGGCAACCATCCCTCCCTCCCATTCTCCTCCCCCTCCCCGCAACCTGAGGCTGTATCAGTCTCCATCTCTATCAGATTCACTTCCAAAACAGATGCATTTAACCCAAATCACCTAGATTCACATCAAAATGAGGTTTAAATGCTGACAAAGCCCCCCTGTCCACCTCTCCTGTTGATGCCACCTCAGCACCCCATTTCCACCAAATCCACAGTAAAACATCATGGAAAGGATGAATTTTTCCCCAAATCCTCCCAGTTTTGGTCAAAACGTGTCTTTTTTTGCCCAGTATTCCCCAAATATGGATCAAAATGGGGCTCAACATCCAAGAAAACCTTTCACTCACCTTGTCCCACACAAACCCTCCCAAATGCTCAATTTGACCTCAAAAAAGAGGGGGAAAAAAAAAACCCTCATCAAATTTTGGGCATGATGAGGTCAAAAAATCTGAAAATTGGGGGAAAGGTGCAAAAAAGGGCAAGTCCCGGAGAATTGGGTGGAAAAAATGTGTTTAAAACCCAATATTTTAGAAGAAAAAGGGTTACAATTATTAAACCTGTGGGGGAAAGGAGGCAAAAGCCATAAAATTGGGGAACAGAAAGGGTAAAAAACCCTGAAATTTGGGCAGAAAAAATCCTCAATTTCTACCAATCCCCCCAAAATAAGGAAAGCCAAGAATTAAGAAGGAATAAAGAAGGAATAAAGCCTCCCCACTCTTCCCTACTCACCAGCCCCTTGGCTCTTCAACTCCCGGGACCTCGCAGACATGGAATGTTTGTCCAAAAATCACTCTTTTTGTACTCAAATAAATATACCCAAGCCACAGCCAAAGCGTGCAGATTTGGGCAGATTCAGCAGAATTTCAGGATGAGGGGTGGGGAGGAGGGGCCGAGGGGCATGACCCACAGTTCCAGAGAATTTGGGAACTGGCAGCTGGATCCTGTCACCAATAGGACATGACAGGAGGGGAACCCACAGGGATATTGTGACAGGTGTGGGACCCACAGGGATGTCACAACAGATGTGGGATCCATGGTGATCATCCCAAATTCCCTAAATTCCCAGAAACACTGTCCCCCATGATACCCTCTGGCCCCACAACCCTACAGGAGGGACAGACCAAATCCAGATGGTTTTTACCCAAAATTAATGACCCGAGTCCCAGCAGGGAATTTCATGGAATGGAAAATTCTGGCCCAAATGGCTGAAAAAGCTGAAGAAAATCAGCTGGAGCCAGGAGAGATGATGGCAAAGCTGGAGTAAGAGGGCTTTTGCCTTAAAATGAAGACATAAAAATGGGGAAACCCTGAACCCCACAGAGATCCTCAAAACTGTCCAGAGACAGAGACACACACACCCCCCCCCCCCCCGGGATTCCCCCCAAATTACCCAGGGATCCCCTAAGCCCTCTGAACCCCCCAAGCCACAAGGTCCCTGTGGGAAGATGGGGGTCCGTGGGGGGTGTTGGGGGTCCCTGGAAGACTTTTGGGGTTCCTGATAAATGACATGGAGAAATTTTCAGCTGCCCTGAAGGTGCTGGATGGAGCTCTATAAATGAAATTAGGATTTTGACAACTATGTCCCTTGAGTTACTAACAGTTTAATTAAAAATTAATACAATTTAGTAAATTGAATAGTAATTTGGTATATTCTATAAAAGAATATAGTTTAGTAAAAGAATACAATTTAGTAAAAAATTATCATTTAGATATATATAATTTTCCAGTAATTAAGTATGATTCAAACATAAGCAAAAACTAAACTGGGTTATGGGGAGGGCTTGTTACCCCACCTCACATACAGAACTGACCGGGGTACGGAGGCTTCCCACCCTGCCTCATGCACAAAACAAAGCATTTCAAGCTAAACTTATATACTGTATGCTTATACATATTCATTAATGTTTGCCATAAGTTTCCTCCTATTTCTGATTTTTCATCACTATTCTTCACGGCACGTGCTCCACTTGTTGTTAGGGGGTCTTCAGTCTTCTTTTGGTGGTCTTTTGGTGAAGGCTTCCCCTCTTCCTTATTGTCCTTTGGATAACCTTTCAGGTTTGTGCGTGTGTACTAAGCATTGTGTTGTGTAAGTCTACTCATTAGTCTGATATTTACTGATTTTTTAGGCCCAATGCCTCAAGTTGTTCTAATTTTGTCCATCTCAAGGCTGTTTTTCTCTTGAGACATCACTTATCTTCCAAACTACATCCTGTACCTGAATTTTAACATGTAACACCTGTAAAGGGGTGCATCTGCCTAGTAACACTGATTCTTTTGGTTACTTATAATAATAACTTTCCAAATAGTTATGATTTAGTTAGCACGAATCAATTCCATTTATTACAGTCACCTGTAATATGGAAGCATTCTGTGAATATGATCACCATGGTCCCTCCAGGACCATAGCCTGTTCTAAAGTTGCACCACGCACACCAAATTAAAGGAGAAATCCTTCCATGTGTCCCACGCAGATAAAGAATGCCTGCTTTCTAATGCTTCAAATCGTGTTATAAAGTTTATTTTTCAGCCAATTTTACTATCTTTCCCTTGGACAGGCTTACAGATCTAAGGGGAGCTGATAAGAGTCCCGTCGGGGCTTGGGGGTCCCTGGGATGGTTTGGCGTTTCTAGGGGGGAGATTTGGGGTGTCCACGGGGGAGACTGGAGTTCTCTTGTCAGCGGGATCCCAGCTCTCTGCCACTTTAACCACCCCAAAGACCTCCCAAACCACATGGGGACCTCCCCGGCCCACCTGCGCCGCCAAACCTCCTCTATGACGCACAGAACCGCACCAAGCTCTCCGCCCCTCAAACCTTTCCCTGGCGATCCCAACCAACCTCTCTGGGACCCTCAAAACCACCCCCAAAACTTCCTGGCAGCTCTCAGCGCCCCCAGACCCGCAAACCCCTCCAAGGACCCCCATATATACTCCGGGACCCCCTCAGTGCCTCTAGAGCCCCCGAACCCCCGGGAATCCCCAAACCCCTCCCAGACACC